GGTCGCGACCAACCGCTGCACCGACCGGTACTGCTACCGGTACCGCAACCAGACGAACCCACTCACGCCGAGCAACTCCATCGTGAGGGGCCTCAGCGCAGCAGACGGCAGCGCCCTCTGGTCCTACAAGACGCGGTCGCCCGTGTGGAACATGGTGCCGCAGTGGGGCCCCAACGACACCGTCATGTTCCAGGACTTCGAGGCCAACGCGTACTGCCTCAACTTCAAGACTGGTGCACTGGTGTGGCAGTTCCGCGCCTCCAAGGGCATGGGCACCTACACGAACGCCGCCGCGGTCTACGACGCGGCGTCCGAGCGGCTCTTCGCCATGGGCGCCAAGGAGTACGAGCACAAGTACTGCAACCCGTACCCCGCGCCAGGTGTCCTGCCCCACTGCAACACGTGGCCCGGCTCTGCAGGCATGATCTACGGCCTCAACGCGACCTCGGGCCGGAAGCTGTGGGAGTACGAGACCCGCGAGCCCCCGGCGAGCGGCGCCGTCGGCCTCCTGAACAGCCCCCCGGGCCACACCCGGCTGGTGGTCACCCTGGGCTACAACTGCAGGTACAACTCCCCCTCCGGGCTCCTGTCCCTCGACCCGCACAATGGCCACCTCCGGTGGGAGAGGGAGGGCCCGACGCTGTGGTCCGGCATGTGCGCGGGGGACAGGGAGGGCGGCGACGTCCGGAGGGCGATGGGCGGCCGCGCCGCGTGCGTGCCGAACTCCTGGTCCAGCCCAGTCATCGACTCCAACGGTGACTTCTATGTCGGCAACCAGGTGGGGGTGCTGCAGAAGTGGGGGTCTCCCACGGGGCGGACCCTCGACGTCCAGCTGCTCTCCACCCTGACCACGGGGGTGGCGTTCCAGGACTCCGCCATCGCGGTCGGGCCCGGCATCATGGCGGTGTCGACGTGCACCTCCCTCATCGTCATGCAGACCTCGGATGGGGACAACTTCACCTTTCCCCTCTACGAGTACTGAGCCTGTCATCCCAAACCGTACGCTTTTGCTTCCTTCCACTTCATGGTGAGTTTGTCACCATGAGGGCAGTCGCCACCGCGTGCTTTTGGGGCCACACGCGCATACCGCGAGTGGCACGTCGTTGGGACGTCCCTGCTGATAGGACTCCATACGCTTGAAGTCGGGCGCTCGTACTAATTATCCTGGCGAAGGGCCCAATTTAAAGCTGTGGGTACCGCGAGGCAAGTGAGAGGAAGACGGGGGGAGGAGTGGGGGGTGTGCTGAATAGGGTCCGGGTACGCCATGCGGACCCTGCCATTCGGGCCTTGGGTGCAGCTTCCCACGGCGCAACGGCACTTGTGAGGGGTGTGCTGAATCGGGTGCGGGTATGCCATGCGGACCCTGCCGCTGGGGCCTTCGTTATGGCTCCCTATGGGGCCACGAAACGAGTGAGGGGTGTGCTGAATCGGGTGCGGGTATGCCATGCGGACCTTGCCGCTGGGGCCTTCAGCATGGCTCTTTATGGGGCCACGAAGCGTGTGAGGGGTGTGCTGAGACGGGTGCGGGTGCGCCATGTGGACCCTGCCGCTGGGGCTTTCGGTGATGCTCTTTATGGGGCCACGAAGCGAGTGAGGGGTGTGCCGTATCGGGTGCGGGTGCGCCATGCGGACCTTGCCGCTGGGGCTTTCGGTGGAGCTCCAATCTGTGCCACGAAACGTGTGAGGGATGTGCTGAGTCGGTTGCGCGTATGCCATACGGACCCTGCCGCTGGGGCCTTCCGTGGAGCTCCCTTCGGGGCCACGGAGCGTGTGAGGGGTGTGCTGAATAGGGTCCGTGTTCACCATGCGGGCCCTGGCGCTGGGGCCTTCAGTATGGCTCTGTATGGGGCCACGCAACGAGTGATGGGGTGTGCTGAATCGGGTGCAGATATGCCATGCGAACCCTCGGTGGAGCTCCCTATGGGGCCACGAAGCGTGCGAAGGGTGTGCAGAAGAGGCTCCGGTTATGCCATGCTGACCCTGCCGCTGAGGCCTTCGGTGGAGCTCCCTTCGGGGCCACAAAACGAGTGAGGGGTGTGCTGAATCGGGTCTTGCTATGCCATGCGGACCCTGCCACTGGGGCCTTCGGTGGAGCTCCCTACGGGGCCACGAAACGAGTGATGGGGTGTGCTGAATCGGGTGCAGGTACGCCATGCGGACCCTGCCGCTGGGGTCTTCGATGGGGCTTCGAATGTATGGTCCCACTAAACGTGTGAGTGGTGTGTTGACTCGGGTGGGGGTATGCCATGCGGACCCTGCCGCTGGGGCTTTCGGTGGAACTACCTTCGGGGCCACGAAACGTGTGAGGGGTGTGCTGAATCGGATTTGGCTATGCCATGCGGACCCTGCCACTGGGGCCTTCGGTGGAGCTCCCTACGGGGCCACGCAACGAGTGATGGGGTGTGCTGAATCGGGTGCGGGTACGCCATGCGGACCCTGCCGCTGGGGTCTTCGGTGGGGCTTCGTATGTATGGTCCCACTAAACGTGTGAGGGGTGTGCTGACTCGGGTGCGGGTATGCCATGCGGACCTTGCCGCTGGGGCTTTCGGTGGAACTCCCCATGAGGCGACGACACGTGTGAGGGGTGTGCTCAATCGGGTGCGGGTATGCCATGCGGACCCTGCCGCTGGGGCCTTCGGTGGAGCTCCCTATGGGGCCACGGAACGTGTGAGGGGTTTGCTGAATCGGGTGCGGGTATGCCATGCGGACCCTGCCGCTGGGGCCTTCGGAGGAGCTTCCTTCGGGGCCACGGAGCGTGTGAGGGATCTGCTGAATCGGGAGCGGGTATGTCATGCGGACCCTGCGCCGCTGGGTCGTTCAGTATGACTCCCTGTGGGGTCACGAAACGAGTGCGGGGTGTGCTGAATCGGGTGCGGCTATGCCATACGGACCCTGCCGCTGGGGCCTTCGTTATGGCTCTTTATGGGGCCACGAAGCGTGTGAGGGGTGTGCTGAATCGGGTGCGGCTATGCCATACGGACCCTGCCGCTGGGGCCTTCGTTATGGCTCTTTATGGGGCCACGGAACGAGTGAGGGGTGTGCTGAATCGGGTGCGGGTATGCCATGCGGACCTTGCCGTTGTGGCATTCAGTATGGCTCGTTATGGGGCCACGGAGCGTGTGAGGGGTCTGCTGAATCGGGTGCGGGTCCGCCATGCGGACCCTGCCGCTGGGGCCTTCGGTGGAGCTCCCTTCGGGGCCACGAAGCGTGTGTGTGGTGTGCCGAATCGGGTCTGGCTACGCCATGCAGACTCTGCCGCTGGCGCCTTCAGTCGAAACGTGTGAGTGGTGTGCCGAATTGAGTGGAGGTGCGAATTGCGGACCCTGTCGCTGGGACCATCGATGAAGCTCCTTTCGGTTCCTCGAACAGTGTGTGGGGTGTGCTGAAGTTGATGGCGATGCTGATGATTATGATGATGATGCTGATGATGATGATGAGGATGAGGATGATAATGATAATGCAAATGATGATGATAATGATGCTGATGATGATGCTGATGATGCTGATGCTGGTGATGCTGGTGGTGGTGGTGATGATCATGTTGTTGATGATGATGACAATGATGATGGGGATGATAATGATGATGCTGATGCTGATGCTGAACGCGATGCTGATGACGTTGATGATAGTGATGACGGTCATGATGATGATGCTGATACTGATGCTGATGATGCTGATGATGATCATGCTGATGAAAACGATGATGATGTTGATGACGGCGATGATGATGGCGTTGATGGTAATGATGACGGTCATGCTGATGATACTGATGATGATGATGATGATGATGATGATGATGATGATCAGGGTGTTTATGCTGTTGATGGTTCTGCTGATGATGGTGATGCTGATGATGGTGATGATGCTGGTGATGATGAGTATGATGACGACTATGCCGGTGGTGGTGATGCTGATGTTGCTGATGATGGTGCTGAGGCTGATGCTGCTGATGATGATTATGCTGCTGCTGGTGATGATGATGACGATGATGATGATGATGATGATGATGATGATGATGATGATGATGATGATGATGATGATGATGATGATGATGCTGATTGTGCTGCTGCTGCTTCTGATGATGATGATGACGATGCTGATGACGACGATGATGATGCTGATAATGATGATGCTGATGATGCTGATGATGATGCTGCTGATGATGATGATAATGAGGATGAGGATGGCGATGGCGACTAGGAGGGCAGAGGCAAGGAGGGGGAGGATGGAGCATGGGGAGGGGGAGGAGCAGGAGGAGGAGGAGGAGGAGGAGGAGGAGGATAGGAGAGTAGAGGAAAGGAGAGGAGAGGGGAGGAGAGGAGAGGGACGCGAGGCGCTGTCTCTTCAAAGCAAGGGTCCAACACCATCCAACACCACAGGATGTCAGGGAAGACACATTTGTTATACACATGAGCAAGAAACAACCAACAGACAAACACAGGGGGCGAGGACTAGGGAAGCACCATACCGTGGCCGAGGCCATGGCACCCCCCCCGTGTTTCTCGTTCCATCGTGCCTTCTGGCCCCCTCTTGCCCGCGCACATGCCCAGGGCCGTGCCGCCCCGTCCGGCGCAGAGGAAGAGCGTTGGCCTGCAGGTGGTCGTCTTGCCTTGCCTTGGCCCCCCCTGCCTCGGCGCACCTCGAGAGGTCCCAGGGCCCGTCGTACTGCGCCTCGACGCCGCGGAGGTCCAGGTCTCCGCCGGCGCCGAGGGCCCGCGGCTCGCCGCCCGCCCGGCACGGCTCTCTGGCCGACCTGCGGGAGGCGCTCGCCAGGGAGCGGGCCCGCGCCGACCGGAGCGAGGAGAAGGCCGAGGCCGCCAGGCATCGCGGGAGGAGAAGCCGCCCGTACCCGATACGTGGCGTTCCCTGAACGGCCCTGGGCGTTCACGAAGCAGCCCTGCCCCGTTCGATTCCTCCCTCGGGGTGCGCTGGCTGAACGGCTCCGCGCGTCGGGGTGATTCTGCTGAGGGTGGCGTTTCTGCTCTCGAAGGCAGGGTCTGATGGAGAAGGCCAAGGCCGTCGAGAGGATCTTGCAGGAGAAGGCCGAGTCCGTCGAGCAGGTCCAGAGGGCGAAGGAGGCGGCCGAGGTCCGCGCCAAGGAGGCCGAAGTACGAGCGGCGTGCGCGCAGCAGCAGCTGCTTGACCAGGGGCAGCAGCTGCCGGCCATGGTGCAGAGCATCGCCAGCTGCTTGCTGCGTGGCGCTCGCCAGGGGTCAAGCAGTGGCGAGGCGTCCTTGCGTGCCTACAGGCCTACCAAGGAGTGTTCTAAGAACCTCTTGTGGTTTCCACGAAATGTTCTTAGAACATTTCTGGCTGGCGCCGTGCTGTTTTATCACATCGGGTTTATGTAATAGAAACATTGTTTTCTTATTCGAACACTGCTGGGTTCTCATCGGGGGAGCGTAAGACTCGAGTTAGCCGGAACTCGGGCTTGCCGACAGTTTTTGACGAGCGCGTCCTGGATTTTGACGGTCCCGTTTTCGTGGGATGTTTGCAGCGGAAGGTCGTGTCAAATTTCAGATGAGGTCTCGTCATTTTTATTATGGCCCCGTCAGACCAACCCGAGTCCCCCATACCCGAGTCTTACGTCTCCCCGATCTATAAACGCTTCGTGGTAGGCCTATAGGAATGCTGGGACGGTCGGTCCCTGCTCAACGCGTGGCGCTCGCCATGGGGGAACGGAGTCCTGAGGGAAACGGGTCCTGAGGTTGTTCGCCGTGTTCGTTCCCCGTGGCCCTCCACGGGCCCCGGTGCTGTCAGAGGATGGTTCAGGATGAAGATTTCGCCTGGGGGGAAGGCCCCAGGGTCCAGGACCCGTTTCCCCTCAGGACCCGTTTCCCCCATGCCGAGGCGCGGGTTCGCGCGGGCGTTTGGAGAGCTGGGGTGTCAGGGTCAACCCGGCACCGGTGGCGATCAAGGTCGAGCCGGACGAAGGCGGTGGCCGCGCGATCACGGATGCGGGCAGCGCGTCGTCGGCCGCGGCCCGCAAGGCTGTGGAGCAGGCCTCCATCCGTGGCACGTGGCGGGACCAGGACGAGGGGCTCACCGACGGCGCCCTGCAGGAGCTGATGCAGCAGTACAGCCAGGGCGGCGGCGCCGCCACGCCCGCCACGCCCGCCACGCCCCAGCCGCCGCCGCCACCCAACACGCCTGTCGACGACGTTGCGACTACGCCCGCGGCTGCAGTGAAAGCGACCGCCGCCTCCGCGGCCGTGGCGGTCCAGGGCCTGCTCAGCGCGATGTCTGGCAGGCGGGAGAGGCTCACAACGGGCAGGGGCCCACTGTCGCAGTGAGGGCTGCGTGGCGTCGCGTGTTCCTGCTCGCCCCCTCCTCCTCCCCCTGCCCGCCCCTGCTTTTTGCCGCCGCCATCTCCTCCCCCCCTGTAGCCGGCCTCGAGGCCGCGCTGGGCTGCTCTCAAGCAGTGGCGAAGCGTGCTGGCGTGCCTACAGGCCTACAAAGCAATGTTCGAAGAGCCTCTTGTGACGTTCTTAGAGCATTTCGGGTTTACAGTCGGCCCGGATTAGTAGGTCGACCCTGCCAAATCAAGGTAACCTTGTGTCCTGTGTCTCGCGACCCGTGCCTCCTGCATTGCTACGGCAATGTGGCCCTCGGAAGGGTCTTGTGTCCTCTCGCGCGTCCTGTCCAATCGAGGCCGGCTGCAATTGTTTCACGGCTTTCCTAAGGGGCTCCTTGGGTATCCGAGGGGAGCTCGAAGTTTAACGTGTGGAAGAAAGGGGGGGCCTCGTTCCCTCTCTTGTGTCCCTTAGGTCGACGCCCCGCCTGTCAGGAGCGCTGCACCCGCGGCGCGCTCAATTCGAGCGGCTCGCGCCAGCCCGCGCGCCGCCTGCCGCAGCTCGGGGGGCGGAGGGGCTGCCCTCCGCCCTGCCGCGCGAGGCGTGCACGGGCCCCGGGGGGGGCGCACGGCGGAGCCGCAGCGGCGGGGGCCAGCTTGGGGTCGCTGGCACCCCGCGCGCGCGCGGGCGGGTGCAAAAAGGCAGTTCCGGCCGGGAGGTCCGACGCCCCGAGCGAAAATGCAGCCGCTCGAGTTCGGCGGTTTTCGGCTTCCGGGGGCCTTCACGAGGCTTCGGGAGCGTCAGAAAATGATTCAGGATGAAAAGCCGGCCCTGGGGAAGTGGTCCGGGCACGAACCAAAAAAATATGGAGCGGCCAGATGTCTGGGGTCGAGTACCGTGCTGATCGAGGTCTTGTGGCGCGTCTGCGCTGCACAGCACATCCGCAGCCGTGATCGGGGATGCAAGCGCCTGTGCTGTGCGGCAGCAAGCTCCTCTCTGAGTGATCATGTGCCGTGAGTGTGCGTGCGTATCTGCGCGCGCGTTTGTGACGTACACGAACGTCTGTGCTGCGCGTTCCAAAGGGGGCCTCGCCTTCACGGGCTCGAGAGGTTGACCTCTCGCTCCCTGCCTGATGCAAGAAGAGGCGAGGGTGGCGCCGCCGGCGGAAGTTCGGAGGCTGGCGGGAGAAGCGAAACACGCGTCCACCCGAATTCAAGCAGTGGCGAAACGTCCTGGCTCGCTTATAGGCCTACCAAACAATGTTCTAAGAACCTTTTGCGGTTTCAACGAAATGTTTTTCGAACATGTCTGGCTGGAACTGTATTGCTTTACCACATCTGGTTGATGTTCGAAATGCATGGATTTTGTTCTTAGCACATTTCTGGGTTCTATGAACATTTCGTGGTAGGCCTATGGAAATGCCGGGGCGGTCGGTCCCTGCTCAACGAATGGTTCCCAGAGTTTGCCATGTGTGTGCATGTACGTGCATATGCGCGTGCGGACGTTGACGATCGTTCGCATGAGCATGATTGCTCGCATGCGCACGTGCGTGTGGGCGAGGTATGGACGCAGCCCGCATGTCCTCCCTCGGCGCTCCAGCCGCCGGCCTGTACGGTCTGACGGGGCCCCCTCCTCTCTCATCAAGCCGTGGCGAGGCGTGCTGGCGTGCCATTAGGCCTACCAGACAGCGTTCTGATAGCCTCTTGTGGATTCCACGGCATGTTCTTAGAACATTTCTGGCTGGGGCTGTCTTGTTATCGCACATCAGGTTTAAGTTCTAAGAACATTGCTCTTGTTCTTAGAACATTTTTGGGTTCTAAGAACCATTCGTGGTAGCTCTGTAGAAATGCCGGGACGGTCGGTCTCTGCTCTGTTCTCTGGGGCACGAGTCCTTTGTGTTTCGCGCGTATGTCTTTAGATTGGCCCTTTCCAGGGGCGCGAATATTTTGTGTTTTACGCATTTGCTTATAGATGTGCCTTCCCCTGGGGCACGGGCCCTGCGTGTTTTACGTATGCGCCTATGGATTTGCCCTCTCCTGGGGCACGAACTCTTCGTGCTTTACGCATGTGCATATAGATTCGCCCTCTCCTGGAGCACGAATCCTTTGTGTCTTACATGTGTACAAATAGATTGGCGTTCCCCTGGGGCACGAATCCTTATGTGTTTGAGTATGTGCCAGTCGATCGGCCTTCTCTTGGAACACGAATCCTCTTAGTGTTTTACGTATGTGCTTATAGATTGACCATCTCCTAGGGCGCGAATATTTCGTGCTTCACGTGCGTGCTGATAGAGTGGTCCTTAGCGTGATTGGCCCTCTCCTGGGGCACGATCCCTTTCCAGGGGTACGAATCTTTCGCGTTTTACGTAATTGCTTATAGATTTGCCCTCCCCTGGGGCACGAACCCTGCGAAGCGTCACGAGCTTCACCGGGCGTCAGGAAAATAGAAGCTTCAGGCCGAATAGAGGCTTCACGAGCTTCACTCGGCGTCGGGGGAATAGAGGCTTCAGGCCGAATAGAGGCTTTACGAGCTCCACGAGGCGCCAGGGGAATATAGTCTTCAGGCCGAAGAGAGGCTTCACGAGCTTGAACGAGCGTCTAGGGAATAGAGGCTTCAGGTCGAATAGAGGCGTCGCGAGAATCACCCGGCGCGAGGGGAATAGAGGCTTCAGGCCGAATAGAGGCTTCACGAGCTTCACCAGGCGTCAGGGGAATAGAGGCTTCAGGCCGAATAGAGGCTTCACGAGCTCCACCGGGCGCCAGGGAAATATAGTCTTCAGGCCGAACAGAGGCTTCACGAGCTTTAATGGGCGTCATGGGAATAGAGGCTTCAGGCAGAATAAAGGCTTTACGAGCTCCACCGGGCGCGAGGGGAATAGAGGCTTCAGGCCGAATAGAGGCTTCACGAGCTTCAATGGGCGTCAAGGGAATAAAGGCTTCAGGCCGAATAGAGACGTCACGAGCTTCACCGGGCGCCAGGGGAATAGAGGCTTCAGGACGAATAGAGGTTTCACGAGCTTCACCACGCGTCAGGGGAATAGAGGCTTCAGGCCGAATAGAGGCTTCACGAGCTCCACCGGGTGCCAGGGGAGTAGTCTTCAGGCCGAATAGAGGCTTCACGAGCTTCAATGGGCGTCAGGGGAATAGAGGCTTCAGGCCGAATGGGCGCGTTTAGGGTCGCTACCCCACCAATGTGTTGCAAGTCGTAGGCCGAATAGAGGCGTCACGAGCCGAATAGAGGCTTCAGGTCGAATAGAGGCTTCAGGCCGACTAGAGGCGCCACGAGCTTCAATGGGCGTCAACGGAAGAGAGGCTTCAGGCCGAATAGAGGCTTCACGCGCTTCACCAGGCGTCAGCGGGATAGAGGCGTCACCGCAGCTCCTTGGGGGAATCGGCTGGCGTCTTCAAATAGCGTCTTCGGCGCCGGCTCGAACTGGGACCCCCTCGGGCCTGACCGCTGTATATTTATATACGCTATACATGTATAGGTATATATATATATGTGTATATGCATATGCATGTATAACTACACATGTATGTCTAGATTTGTATATCCAAATGTATACACATATATGCGTATGCATCGATGTATGTGTTTGTTCGTTGCATAGGTCGCGCCCCTCAACTCCGCAGCGCGCGGACGCGCGCCAGCGGCGCGCCGGCCAGGTGGTCGCGCCGGCGCCCAGCGGCGAGGACAGCCCCTCCGATCCGTCCGGGGAGGGCCGCGCTGGGGCCGCGGCCCCCCGTCCCCGGTGGCGAAGAGCTCAAGGGCGGGCATTGCACGTATTTCGGGGGCGGAAAAGAGGAGCTTCGCCGAAGACACAGGCCATCGGCGCCCTTGGATACATGTATTGGTCTCCCTTCGGCTATTCGCTCCAATCGTTGCCCCCGAGACTGCGGGAGCGGGGAGGTGCCGTGACGCCCCCCCCGCCTCGCCCCAAGAGGTATGTGTGCGCCACGGCGGGGGAAGCGTACGATTCCAGTGCGCCAGGATTCGGGTCTGCCGACGCTATTTGACGAGCGTGTCCTGGGTTTTGGCGGTCCGGTTTTCCTGGGATGCTTGCAGCGAGAGCTCGCGTCAAATTGCAGACTTGGTCTCGTCCTTTTTCACGATGGCCCAGTCAGGCCCACCCGATTCTCCCGAACCCGAGTCTCACGTTTCCCCGAGGATGGCTTGCTAGGGGTCGGTTAGGCCGCGCCCGAGAAGGAGGAGGAGGAGGAGGAGGAGGAGGAGGAGGAGGAGGAGGGTGAGGGGGGCAGGGTGGAGGAGGGCGATGGGGGGGGGGGGGGGGAATGTCGAGCTAGGAAGAACTATTGACATACACTTTCGACGGTCTGCACGGGTCTCTTCTATTTGTGCTGGAACCCCCTGGCAGCTCTTCGGCGCCGCCCCGACGAGCTCCGCGCGCCAGGGATGGTGGGCCAGCGCGGATCCAAGAAATCCTGGGGGATGTACGAACGCTTATATTGATGCTCCTCTAAAGGATGGGGACGGGGGGGGAATGGGGGGAAGAGGAGGAGGAGGACGAGGACGAGGACGAGGACGAAGAGGAGGAGGAGGAGGAGGGGCATAACGAGGAGGAGGAGGAGGACCAGTGCAAACCCAATACACAGCAATAGTATTGCAATCCCCAACCCTTCCAAGTTTTCATCAGTCCGTACACGAATGTGTTTTAATTGCGGGGAGAGCCCCATTGGAAAGCAACCGTTTGAGAGTCCTCAATCGTGCCAACGCATCATTCCTCGGACTTCAACGCCGCGAGTCATCGTGCCTGTTGCGTCCTGGCAGTCCTTCATCATGCCAACAACACAAATTATGGGATTTCTTCACCGCGAAACAGCGATATTGCTGCCTTCTGTCAACTATACATGGTGCCATAACTCCCTGCCTGGGACTTCAATCGTACGAATCTGTGAAACTGTTGCAAGCATTTAAACGACTGCGCGCGGCGCTCAGGCGAGAACCTCATCAATACAACCACACGGTCTCCATCCTTTGAGCAATTGCGAACTTTTGACACGAATGTGCGCGGCGCTGAGTCGAAACCACTTTGAACACCACTTGTCCTTCATCTTCGGCATTGCTGCAACGTTGAAAGACGAAGGTGGGCGGCACTTAGGCGAGAACCAGGTCAAACAAACAACGATCAAAACAAACTCCCGCTCTCCATCTGTGAACATATTGTAAATATTGGAGACAAACGTGCGCGGCGCAAAGGCGAGCGTCACATTTCGAATGCCACCCAGCCTCCATCTTTCAAGCTGCTGCAAACTTTGAAGACTGTCCTCTGATACCGTTCTCCGTCCGCGAACCGTTGTACAATTCAAGCTTCAGGATCATGTTGTGTCAGCGCGGCTCAGACGAAACGCCTGGCCCGCCCTACCGACGCGTTTGGGGGTGAGACAGGGAGGAGTTTCTTTGAAGGGAACGGGATGGAGGAGGAGGAGGAGGAGGACCAGGAGGAGGAGGAGAAGGGGAAGGATGATAATGATGAGAAGGATGAGGAAGAGGAGGAGGAGGAGGAGGAGGAAGAGGATAGGGGCGGATGAGGAGGAGAAGGAGGAGAACGCTGAGCAAGGGGAGAAGGAGGAGGAGGAGGATGAAACTGAGGAGAGACGACGTTAGAGGAGGGCGGAGGGGTGGGGGAGGAATGGTGCAAGGGGAGGGGGAGGAGGCGGAGGATGGGGCCAGGGAGGAGTATGCAGGAGGGAGAAAGCCAGGAGCCTTATCGCCGCGGCCGCCGCCGACACTGCCGCCTCTGACGGTGCAGGTCGCCTTGGCACCCCTGGCGATGAAGCGAGCGGCAGGTCGGGAGGAGGGAGCTCCACCAAGGCGTCTGCGGCTCGATGCGGTCGGCTGCGGCGCAGTCGGCCGCAGTCGGTCGGCTCGATTCGTTCGGTTGTCGCGCCGTTGCATCCCTTTGGGGCCGCCCTCGCTCTGACGGCCTCGGTCGCTTCTGGTCTCGCTGTCGGCCAGGTCGCTGTTCGGTGCGGGCTCGAGCGGCGGGCCCCTGACGCCTCCACGGCCGGGCGCCGCGGAGGAGGATCGCAAACCACTGGGCAGGGCGAGGACATTTGGACGCCCGAAGTGGGCACGGAAAGAATGGGCACCATGCCCAACAGCCAATGTTGTCCCAAACCATCAGCGGCCGCTGTTGGGCAGGCGGCCTCTTGTCTCGGACGGACACAGGCCGCGGCGGCGCGAACAGCGAGTCCTGTTCAAGATGGACCGGAGCTGCTGTTGGGCATTGTACCCATTCTTTCCGTACCCATTTCGGGCGTCCAAAGAGGAGGAGAGATGTTTGCGTAATGTGCAGTGAAGGGAGGATGCCGAGGCAAGCGCAGACGGCGGAAATGTCGAGGCCGCTGGCAGTGATGGGGGCGGCGGAGGCGTGCAGCGAATGGGACCGGGGCGGCGAGGCTCGAGAGGCGACTGCGAGGTTCTCGGGGCGGCGGGGGAAGACCTCGCGCTCGCGACGAGCGACCATACCAGCCCCCAGGACACGGCAGCGCAGGCGGCCGAGCAGACAGACGCGGCCAGCTCTGACCGCGAGGCCGACGGCACGGCCGGCGGTGATGCCGAGCAGGCGGGCGTGGACGAGGCCGACGGTGCAGCCGGAGAGGCCGAGCAGGCGGCCGCGGTCAGTGCTGACCGGGAGGCCGGCGAGAGCGCGGCCGGCGGCGGGGCGGAGCAGACGGACGCAGCCGGCGCGGGCCAGGAGGATCAAGCAGTGGCGAAGCGTCCTGGCTCGCCTATAGCCCTACCCAACAATGTGCTAAGATCCTTTTCTGTGGTGTCCACGACATGTTCCCAGAGCATTTCTGGCGGAGCCTGTCTTGTTTAAGCACGTCGGGGTTATGTTCTAAGAACACTGCTTTTGTTCTTAGAACATTTTTGGGTTCTAAGAACATGTCTTGGTATGACTATAGGAATGCCTGGACGGTTGGTCCCTGCTCAACAGGAGGAGGAGGACGGCGCCGGCGACGGCGAGGCTGAACAGGCGGACGCGGTCCTCTCTGACGAGGAGGCCGACGGCAGCGCTGATGGCGCGCCGCTCGGTTGCCCCGGGCAGCAGGGCAGCGTCGCGTCCTCTGCTCCGCGTCCTCCTCGACGGCTCCCGGTGTTCTCCACACCGTCGCTCTCCTGCCTCTCCCCGCGCCTGTCCTCGCACCAAGCCTCGTGGCCCTCGTCCCCCCGCTTCCCGCTGCCCTCCTCCCCCTTTCCATTCCTCGCCTGTGATGCTCCAACCTACGTGCTCAAGCCTTGACCACTTGAAAGAATTTCGTGCACCAGGGAAGGACCGAAACTGGAGGGTTTTCACGTGTCGGCCAGGGGGAGGCGATATTCGTTCAGCACTTCGCCAGCGTGTCGGGCAGACATTGTCTCGATACTTCCCTGGGTGCTCGAGATTGTTCCTGGGATGTGGTCCCTAGGTACGAACAGAAAACATAATCCTCGCCCACCTCACCCTCCTTCCAGCGTCTCCCAGGCGCTTTAGTTGGCTCCCTCCTCTCCTCCGCCTGCCGCTTGGGCTCGCGCGCAGAAGCGAGCCGCGACCCGCCCGCATCCACCCTTAGGGGCGCGGTCCCATCGGAAGCGCTCCAATGCAAAACGGCGGGAGTGGGAGTCCGGGGACCAACTTCCTCGTCCTCCTGCTCCTCGTCCCCATTCCTCCTCGTCCTCCTTCCTCGTCCTGCCCCCCCCCTCCCCCTGGTCCTGTCCTCCTCCCCCCCACGTTTCCCCCATCTCCCCCCTGGGCAGTTGCCCCCTGCACATCTCCGCTTCTCCCTCGTGTCTGCTCTCTCTCTCTCTCCTTCTCCCTCCCCCTCCCTTCCTCTTCCTCCCCCCCCCTAGGAGGAGGAGGAGGAAGAGGAGGAGGAGGAAGAGGAAGGATTTCAGATCCCTCCCCCCTCCCTCTTCCTCCCTCCCTCCCTTCCTTCCTCCCTCCTCCCCCATTCGAGATAGTTTTTATTACTTCCGGACGTAACGCGTGTTCCACCCCCGCCGACCCCCCCACACGTAATGGTGACGCGGGGAAACCGGCTGCAGAAGTAAACGCGCGAAGCTTCCCATAGAGGAGGTGGAGGAGGAGGAGTAGGAGGAGGAGCAGCAGCAGCAGGAGCAGCAGCAACAGGAGGCGGAGGAGGAGGAGGAGGAGGAGGAGGAGGAGGAGTTGGAAGGGTTTTTGATCCCATCCCCCTCCCTCTTCCTCCCTCCGTCCCTTCCTTCCTCCCTCCTCCCCCATTCGAGATAGTTTTTTTGTTTTGTTCTACTTCCGGACGTAACGGGTGTTACACCCCCGCCGACCCCCCCACACGTAATGGTGACGCGGGGGAACCGGCTACAGGCGTACACGCGCGAAGTTTTCCATAGAGGTGGAGGAGGAGGAGTAGCAACAATAGGAGCAGCACCAGGAGGCGGAGGAGGATAATGATGATGAACATGATGATGATGCTGATGATGATGATGATGATGATGATGATGATGCTGCTGCTGATGATGATGATGACGATGACGATGACGATGATGATGCTGATGATGATGATGATGATGATGGTGGTGGTGGTGATGATGATGATGATGACGATGATGATGATGATGAGGAGGAGGAGGAGGAGGAGGAGAACGAGGAGGGAGGAGGAGCTGTGTAGGAGGTGAGGAGGGGGAGGAGGAGGAAGATGAGTGGCAGGAGGAGGAGGAGGAGGAGGAGGGGGAGGAGGAGGGGGAGGAGGAGGAGGAGGAGGAGGAGGAGGAGGAGGAGGAGGAGGAGGAGGACGAGAAGGAGGAGGAGGAGGAAGTGGAGGAGGAGGAGAAGGAGGAGGAGGGGCAGGAGGAGGAGGGAGGAGGAGGTGGAGGAGCAGGAAGAGGAGGAAATGATGGGGGAGAAGGAGGGGGAGGAGGAGAAGGACGAATACGACGACGACCGACGCGGCCCAGAGCCCCCGAGAGGTGCACGCAGACACGGGGGCCTCGTGGGGCGCACGGCTGTTGCCGCTGCTGCTGCGGCAACAGGTGGTGTACAGAAACGTTGTGGTGCACGCAGGCATCGGGGTGCACGCAGGGCGAGCTCACACAGATAATATGGTGAACGCAGGCACGGAAGTGTACACAAGCGTTGCGATGCATTTGGTTGGTTTTTGTGGGCATTGCGGCGCACGCAAGCGCAATTGTGCACGCAAGCGCACTTGTACTACTACTACTACTACCACTACTACTACTACTACTACTACTACTACTACTACTACTACTACTATTATTACTACTACTACTACTGCTACTACTACTACTACTATTACTATTACTATTACTACTACTCCTACTACGACTAATACTTCTACGACTACGGCTACTACTACTACTACTACTACTACTACTACTACTACTACTACTACGACGACGACGACGACGACTACTACTACGACTACGACTACTACTAGCACCTCCACTACTACCACTTTTACAACACCAGCTATCTCTATGACCACGACCACCACTACTACGAGTACACTTAGGTTGGCTACTGCGACTATTGTTTCTACCACGACTGCGACCTCTACTACGACTCCAATCACGACTACCATTACTTTTCCTACTACTACTACTACTACTACTGCGACGACGACTACTACTACTACTACTACTACTACGACTACTACGACGACGACTACTACTACTACTACTACTACTACGACTACGACTACCATTCTTACGACTATTATTATGATTACTACGACGACTACTACTATTACTACTCGTGCTGCTACTACTGCTACTGCTACTACCTACGCCTTCACCTTCTCCTACTACTACTTCCACCATCACTACCATTACTACTACTACTACTACAACTACTACTTCTTCTTCTTCTACTACTACTACTACTATCAGTACTACTACTACTTCGACTACGACTACGACTATTACTATTGCGATTACTACTATTACCACGACGGCTACTACTATTACTACTACTACTACTACCACTACTACTACTACTACTACTACTACTACTACTACTACTCGTGCTACTACTACTACTACTACTACTACTACCACTGCTACTCCTCCTCCTCCTACCACTACTACTACGGTCACCAACACCACGACTACTTCTACTACTGCTACTACTGCTACTACGACGACGACGAGTACTACTACTACTACCACTATTCCTACTACTACTACTACTATTACTACTACTATTTGTACTACTACAATTACTATTTGGTACTACTGCGACTCGTGCTTCTACCACTACTACTACCACTAATACGACTTCTATCACGACTACCATGACTACTACCATTTTTCTTATGACTACGATTATTAGTGTTACTACTACTACTACTTCTACTACTACTACTACTACTACTACTACCACTACTACTAGTACTACGACGACTACTACTACTACGGCCAGTACAACTGTTCCATTTATTTCTGGTACTACGTTGACGACGACTACTACTATTACTACTAGCACTACTACTACTACTACTACTACTACTACTACTACTACTACTACTACTATCACTACTACTACTACTACTACTACTACTAATTTGACTTCTACGACTACTGCCTCTACTACTGTCACCACTCTTAGTACTATTACTACTACTATTACTGCTACTACTACTACTACTACTACTACCACTACTACTACTACTACTACTACTACTACTATGACCACCACCATTACTACTACTACTGCCACTACTACTTCTACTACTACTACTACTACTACGACGACGACGACGACTACTACTACTACTACTGCTACTACTACTTCTACGACCACTACTACTATTACCTTTACTACTGCTTATATATGTATTACTACGACTAACAACAACAACTACTACTACTACTACTACTACTACTACTATTACTACTACTACGACTATTCGGGTCACACGTCACCTTCGTGTCTGCTGAGAACGAACTGGTCAGGGTAACGGTTCGGGTTCGGTTTTGGGTCCGGGTTTGGATTACAATGTAATTAGAACACACGTAGGTTTTTTCCCAACCATCCTGTTGTGTTGGGTCGTTGTTTTGAAGAGACGTCCCCCCGCGTTTCTCTCCTCCTTTCCTCCTCCTCCTCCTCCTCCTCTTCCTTCCTCTCTCCTCCCGTCCTCATCATCATCGCCATCATCATCATCACCGTCCGTGGCATCATCATCCTCACCGTCATCATCATCATCGTCATCATCATCACGACCGCCATCATCACGAGGATCATCACACATGTCGTCACACCCCTCACACGTTTCGTGGCCCCATAGGGAGCTCCACTGAAGGCCCCAGTGCCACCGCCCGCGTGGGTCCCCCGCACCAATCCCGGCACACCCCTCACACGTTTCGTGGCCCCATAGGGAGCGCCACCGAAGGCCCCAGTGCCACCGACCGCATGCGTCCGCCACGCACACTTCGGCACACCCCTCACACATTTCGTGGCCCCATAGGGAGCTCCACCGAAGTCCCCAGTGCCACCTCCCGCATGCGATGATAGCCATGGCGAACCTCTCGGTCTACTTCGAGAGCTTCCTGCAGGCCCCGTCGTGGACAAAGGTCTACACGACAGACGCGGCGAACGAGGGCTTCGGAGTGGTCATCACCGACAGCGACGTCGACGAGGTAAGGGCCGAAGCTCAGAGTTCGGCAGCCCAGGGCTGGATCGTCTCCATGGACGAGGTCTACACCGAGATAGATAAGACCACGGCGGCTGGGGGGGAGGGGGGGATGAGCGAGGAGGACAGGCGCGACGGGGACAAGGTCGAGCGGCTGGGTTTCTTGGAGTGTTTTCGGGCAGCGGCACTCTTTCGGACGCGATCCACCAGATCCTCGGCTCCTGGACGGATCCCTGGGACATCGAGAGGGGCCTCTCGCAGGACGTGCTGCAGCCCCACAACCTCGCCAGGCTCTTGAAGCAACTCCGTCTGGGATGGTACTGGATGGTGCACTTGGCCCCGTCGCAACCTTTGCCAGGGCTCGGAGACCGAGGTTGAGATCCCGAGCGGCCCCTCATGGGCTAGCCCTCCTCTCCAACAGCAGTCAGCATCAGGTTCAGGCGGGCAGCGCTCTCTGCAAGATAGCGGTCGGGTTGGCGTTGGAGTGCATCAGGCTCGACATCCCGTTCGTCGTGGAGAACCGGCAGGCGTCGCTGATATGGATCTACCCGCCCGTCCTCTCGCTGCTGGACAGGGGCGACGTTATCTCCGCGGATCTGGACTTCTGCCAGTTTGGGGAGCGATGGAGGAAACCTGCTCGTCTGATCGGGAACTTCGAGCAGCTCGGCGCATTTACTCGGCGTTGTTCAGGCCGGGGCGGCTGGCGCTCTTCATCGGGTCTCCCCCGCCAGGCGTTCAGGGGCAGGAGCGAGGACGGCGACCTACGGGTCAAGATAGCATGGCCCATGCCCGAAGGATCTAAGCCGGAGTAATGGGGGGAACGCAAATTGGGGGACGAGGGCGGGCGCAATAGTTCATGCAATAGTTGGTGCTTGGATGCAATAGTTTGCGGCGTGGATGCAATAGTTCCGCGCGGGTGTTGCTTCGTCTTGTTTCGTGCGCAATAGTTCAGGCGGTTTGCAATAGTTCGCGCCCCCTCGCAATAGTTCGCGCGCAATAGTTCAGGCAAACGAACTATTGCACCTACTGCCGTCCCCCCTTTTGTGTTCCCCCCATTGCTCCAGCGTAAAGAGGAGTTGCGCCAGCTCGACGCGACGATCGTCTCTCCTTTCCACGAGCAGGTCAAGGACTTGGCGCCGACGCCTGGAGTGAGATTGGGAGTATCTCTAGGTGGGCGACCAGCACCAGTTCGAGCGGTTCCTCCCTCGATAGGGGCCGCCTTTACACCGGTGAAGACGCGGGGGCCCTTGTTCGATGGGCGTTGGGGCAGGCTCGAACGCAACAATCTTTTGGAGGTGGGAGGGGTTCTGTTGGTGATGGGACATTTGGGACGGAGTTCGAGATGGTGGAATCATCGAGTGCTTATAAATCCAGAATCGCCGGTGGCTCTTGGGGCTCTTTCAAAGGGTCGTGCAAAGGCGCGCGAGCTCTTGAGATTGCGCGGGGAATCAGCAGCGATCACCTTGGCGACAGGCATCAAGCTCTACCTCAAGTGGGCCCCGAGCGAGTTCAACCTTGCGGGCGGGCCCTCGCGCGGCGTGCAGATCGAAGTGGGCGCCGATGCCGCGCAGGCACGCGTGGACAGGCTCATGCCCAGATCATCTCGTTCGCTCCTCAAGTCAGTGCAGGCGCGCCAAGCTCGACGACAGCACTGGTGATTTGCTTTATTCTTCTTCATTGTACTGGGGGCTTGTCTGGATCTGCAGGCGAGGGTGCATGGCCGACTGATGAACGGGAATCCCGAGGCACAGCAAAGACTCCGCCTCCGCCGATTCAACAGCGCGGCGCTTTGGCGTGGGTCAACGCCGTCAGGGGCCGAGCCGCCATGAACAAGCGTCTCATCGTTCATGCTGTTGATGATGCTACGAACCGCAAGTGCGAGGTTAAGGTCAGAGTTCTCTTGATCGACGTTCAGCGCGCTGGAATGCCCTTCAGCGCCACCAGCCAGAAAGATTTTGCGCTGGCTCGTTATCTGGAAGATTTCTGCTACATCGGGGGCGCTCGGTACACAAGGGGATCGCATGTGTCCCATGGTTTCTGCCACAGTTTCGAGGGCCACAAGGGGCGCATGCCAATCTCACGTCGAGCCCTGCAAGCGTGGGTTAGATTTCAGCAGAGGCGCGAAGGAGCTCCAATCCCGAAAAAGGCCATCGGAGCGATCCTCCTGAAGCTCGTCTAGAAGGGCCGCGTGCTGGAGGCGGTCGCACTCCACCTCTCGTTCGACGGAGCATTGCGCGCAGGACCACCACGGGGCGTTCTCGCTCCTGCTCGGGGACCGGCTGCGAGGGGGGCGAGTGAAAACAGGATCGGGTCAGGGAGTAGTCTTTGCGATGAGTTCGACAACGGCACTTCTGAGAGGCCTCGTGCAGGGCTTCGATTCTGAGGATCTTGTTTTTCCTTTTTTCGACGGCTTCCAGCAGGAGAGTTTGGTGGGGCGCCTTGCAATTTTTAGAACTTCAGTTTCTAGGCCCCCCTCGCGGGCTTCGTCGCGCAGGCGCCTCTCATTGATGGAAAGCGGAGGTGTCGAGGTCGCTCGTAGGAGGGGGCGCTGGCAGTCAGCTAGTTCGTTGTAGAGGTATATTAAAGGCGACGTTTTAATCGAACTGAAATCTCGGCTTCCGCAGGAAGTTTTGACTCCTGGGCAGATTTTCTGGCGTGATCCGGTCGGCGCCTGGATAGCCGCGCTGCGTTCGGCCTCTGTGGCCTCTCGTCCCGTCTGCCTCGATTTGCTTCGCCAGTTGAAAATCCGCGCGTCTTTCGAGTCCCGCTCTGGTGCCCCAGCTTTGAAGACTGCAGCAGAAGTGCCCACGAAGGCCAGAGCTAATTTCCCACAGAAAGATCGCGCGAAAGCCGGGCGGAAAATGAGCAACGAGCGATTTTAGTGTTGTGAACGTATCGGCGTTCCGGCGGCATAGACTTACTGGTGTTCGTTTGTTCGTTTTTTTTTTTTTTTTTTTTTTTTTTTTTTTTTTTTTTTTTTTTTTTTTTTTTTTTTTTTTTTTTTTATTTTTATTTTATATATATATATATATATATATATATATATATATATATATATGTGTGTTTGTTTTTGTATGTATATATATATATATATATATACAATTATTTTTAATACTTTTATCATGAATGTGCCCTCGGTGCTCGCTGGCTGTGCGTTTCTACGTTTGAGCTGCCAGGTCACGCACCGAACCCAGTAATGTCGACACGCGTGCTGGTCAAAGATCGAGGCATGCCGCCTCACCTCGTGCTGGAGTTAGCGATGATAAATGAACGCTTTCTCGATCTTTCATGTCTGGCCCCCGCCCTCCCCCTGCTCCTCCCCCTCTTTTCGGAGATGCCAGTTTGCTAAACGCACTTCTCCGTGTTCTGAGGGTGGGGCCTGGTCTGAGGGTTTGGGGGGCCGTCCTCGGCGTCAAAATTGTCATAAGTTTTGGCGTTTGCTTTTTCCACCGTCGTTTATCGACGCGCTCGTATCTTTTTCGCTCCCTTCCCTGCCCCTCCCTTCGAAAGGCTAGGAATGTGCCCTCGGTGCGCGTTGGCTGCGCGTTTCTATGTGTGAGTTGCCAGGTCACGCGTCGAGTCCAGTCGTGTGGACACGCGTGCTGGTCAAAGATCGAGGCATGCCGCCTCGCCTCGTGCTGGAGTTAACGATGATAAATGAGCGCTTTCTCGATGTTTCATGTCTGGCCTTCGCCCTCCTCCTGCTCCTCCCCTCTTCTCGGGAAAAAAAGGAATTATGCTGGAGGCTGGGGCCACATGATTTCCATTTGAATTCCCATTCGCAAACCAATGCGTTATTAAGGAGTTTTGCTGGAGGTTCGGACTCGGCCATTTTCTATTGAATCCAAATTCGAAAATCAGTGGATTATCATAGAATTATGCTGGAAGCTGGGACTCGGTCGTTTCGTATTGAATTCCAAAACAAGAACCAATGCGTTATCTAGGAATTATGCTGGAGGCTTTGGCTTGGCAATTTCTTATCGAAGTCCCATTCAAAAACACGCACACACATACACACACATATATATACATATATATATACATATATATATATATATATATATATATATATATATATATATAAGTGGCACGTGTGTGCCCAGGCTCATACAACAAAAAACTGAAAGGGCGTTTGAAGCAGGAAGACACCATGACTGCAGGATCGGATATGGAGGAGGGGAAGCTGGGGCGGCGGTGCCAGGGCGTGCCTAAGAGAAGGGGGAGAGGCAGGAGGTGAACGCAGAAAAATCTAAGATTGAGGTCGCACTCGATCGCAAATGGGGTTGCCACACCTTGCGATGTGTGTACAAAGGGCCCCCCAGGAAACCTCAGGAGGCCCGAGTTGGATACCGGAAGAGGCTCCAGGAGGCCCTGGGATTGTGAATGTTGTGTGTGTGATGTGTGTTCTGTGTTGTGTGTGTGTGTGTTTTCTGTGCGTTGTAGGTGTTGTGTGTGTGTGTGTGTGTGCGTGTGCGTGTGTGCGTGTGTATGTGTGTGTGTTATGTTTGTCTAGCGTGTGATGTGTTGGGTGTGATTTGTGTCTCTGTGTGTGCATGTGGCCCCAGGAGGCTCCAGGAGGCCCCAAGCGGCCTCAGGAGGCCTGTTGATCCAGTGCGTATTGCCTCACTCCGCTGCCGTTTGGGCACTAGCTAGCTTGGTGACTCGCGGTGGGGCACCCGCGAGAGGAGAACAAGCTAGCCCTCACTCTTTCCAGAGGGTCCGGAGGACCCTTACTACCGCTCGGGCATTGACACTAGCTTGAGCCACAAGCCCTGACTACAGCCATGGCGGACGGAGGCAGCGCTGGAGGGAGCAGCATTCGTGACCGACGATTCTCCGGGGAAGGAGCAGCTGCAGTCCAGGATTGCAAGGCTTGGAAGAAATGGGCACGAACAAGAGTGCTGGTGGAAAAGGGGCGCGGAGGCAAGTCTGAGACCTTCGGCCCCATGTTGCACACCCTCTTGGAGGGAACGGCCGTGGACGCTCTGGAGCATGTGGAGCTGGACGAGTTGGCAGTCGACGGCGGTGAAGAGAAGCTGTTCGCCGTCCTGGACGCACGATACCCAGAGCGAGAGGTGGCCGACCGAGTGGGAGACGCGCTGGAGTCCGTGTTTGGTCTGAAGATCGAGAAAGCGGAGCTCACTAGTGCGTGCGTGGGCCGAGCTCAGACGATACTCGTGAAGGCCAAGAAGGAGGGCGTGGAAATCCCTGATGTCGCTCAAGGATTTCTCCTTCTTCGGGGCGCCCGCCTCGGAGGCGACCGGCGCGCCGTCGTCCTCGCGGCCAGCGAGAGGCAGTGGACGTTTGAGAAGTTGGCCCTGGCACTCAAGACGGTCTACCCGAAGGTGCTGCCCGAGCACGGCGTGCACCTGGTGGAGGACGACTACGTGTGGGAGGCGGCGGGTGAAGAATATCCTCCCGCGGCAAGCTCCCAGGAGGAGGTGGATGCGTTCCTGGCGGAGGTCGAGCAGGATCGTGAGGAACCCATAGAAGAGGATGAGGCCATCCAGGTGCTGGCGACGCGGAAGGAGACCCGAGTGGCGGTCGCCGAGGAGCGGAAGAAACGTGGGCTGCCATTTCCACAGGCGCCCGATCTGAAAAAGTTCTCCGCTCGGGTCCGCTGCTGGGCATGTAAGCAAGTAGGTCACTTCAGCAAGGAGTGCCCGAAACGAGCTGGCAAGAGTGGCGGCAAGGGTCGCTTCGGCCAGAGGTTCGGGGTTGGCTTCGTCGAGAGTTTCTTCGCTGGAGAGAAAGAGGCCGACCCCTGGAGTGAGATCGAGGAGATCCTGGCAACCTGGGACGACAGGGGCCTCGGAGAGCAGCTGACCGAGGATCATTTCACGCGTCGGCGCAAGGATGTGGACGAGATCGCCGACGACGACGACGCGGCGGAGACGTTCATGGTGCACTCACCGGGCGCCGGGGTGATCGACCCAGGTTGCGCGAGGGCCCTGATTGGCTTGGACACGCTGAGCGAGCTGATCAGGACGTCCGGGAACGCCATCGAGATCGACGAGGACCACAAAGTGGTCACGTTCAAGGGGTTCAGCGGTGATGAGCAGCACTCCATCGGCGTCTGCAAGATCCCGTGGAGGCTCGGTAACCACCTCGAGATGGTCGACGTGTGCGTGATCCCGGGCCAGGCGGGCCTCCTTCTGAGCAAGCCCCTCCTGAAGAAGCTGGGATGCACGCTGGATATGGAGAATGACGAGCTGGTCTTCCCGAAGTTGGGTGTCCGCGTGCTGCTCCAGACGACCCGCGGCGGACACTACGAGGTGCTGCTCGACGGATCATCAGCGGCCCCCATCGCGAACATGGATTTTCAGTAGGGCCGGGCCGTAGCCCTGAGGCCATAGACGAGATGTGCGTTGTGAGCCGAGCAAGTTCGCGGAGACCCGTCATCATGGAGGCGTTATTTCCCCCGGGGCTGACCAAGTGGGCCAGGGAGTTTGGGTTTGAGGATGGCGGAGCATACGATTTGCAGACAGGTTGGGATGCCCGCCAGCGCGAGGACGTCTCCCGGCTTTTCTGCGACCTGGAGACCAAGGATCCGTTCCTTGCGTCGCGCAGTCCCCCCTGTGGCAAGCTGTCGCCGCTGCGGGCTCTCACGCCCGAGGACCGGCGCAAGGGCCCTGAGAGGTTTGAGCGCGAGGTTCAGGAGGCTGTCTCTTTTATTGTCTTGTGCCTGGTGATTGCGGAGTGGCAGATGATGCGCGGGAAGCATGTCATACTCGAGCAATCCCGAGGGAGTTCGGCATGGGGCTTGAAGGAGATGACTTATTTCCTGACGGAGTTCCCCTCCTTCATCGCAGAGGCGGCGGCGTGCAGGTTTGGCAAGCTGGACCGGGTGTCAGGGCCCCCCCTCGCCAAGGTCTGGCGCTTCGCCTCGGATCTCCCGGAGGTGGCCGAGGAGGTGGACCGCCAGCGCCGAGGCGGTCACGAGCATCAGGACGTGATGGGCAGCGCTGGCGGTATGAAGCGTTCGGTCTGGCCCCAGATCTACCTGGACAGACTGGCGAAGGCGTCAGTGAAAGGCGCCTACCAGGCCAGGATGGAGAACCAGAGCTACACCCGCCAGACGGCCGTCCACGAGGCCATGGGGGTCGGCGACCAGGGGGAGGACGAGGAGGCGGACACCGAGGGTGAGGATCGCCTCAGCCGGGGCGACCTGTACCATGGCCGGCCGCAGACCATCGAGGCTGGCTTGTGCCGTCTACACGTCAATCTCGGTCGCGCCCCGGCGCCTACCATGATGACATCTACGCCGTGCGAATGCGACCGAGGGGGCCCTGCAGATGGCCGCGGAGTTTCGCTGCCCAGGGTGCGACGTCAAGGCGGGCCCGAAGGCGGTTCGCCCAGCGGCGCCGGACATTGCGCAGCCCCCTTTGAGGTCCATCGGCGTGGACGTGAAGGGGCTGCCGTGCTGGGTGCCTGATCAGATCGTCAAGGCACTCAACATCGTGTGCGATACGTCGCCGCTGCAGTCCATGACTCCGTTCGATGAGGGCGATGACGAGGTGGCGGCCGACCTGTTGCGCCTGTGCCGAGACAATTGGACTCGGCCACACCTGCGCCCGAAGTGGATCCGCCTTGACCCGGCGAAGCCTCACGTGTCCAAGGTCTTCGCGAGTGCGATGGGTCGGGGCGGGGCCACAATCCAGGACGCGGCCGGCAGCGCCAAGGGGCAGAACGGGAAGGTGGAGCGGCATGGGCAGCGGTTCGCCCAGATGCTGCGCGCCGTGATCGCCGAGGCCCAGCCTCAGGGCCGCGGCGAGTGGCGCGAATGCGTAACGCAGGTGCAGTGCACGAGGCCAAGAACTCTCCTCTAAGCGTCGGCGGGGTCAGCCCGGCCCAGATCGTTTTCGGGCGGAACCCCGAGGTGCCAGAGGACCTGCTGGTGGATTCGCCGGACATCGTGGCGAACAGCGCAGTCCTGCACGACCCGCCGGCGGTGTTTGCTGCTCGAGTCCGAGCGGTGGCCAGGCGACAGGTTTTGAGCTACAGCGACAAGCAGGCGACCCGCCTGGCCCTGGACGCGCGGCCCCGGAAGCTTGTGAAGTACCAGCCGGGCGACACTGTGGCGGTCTGGCGCGGTGTGAAGAAGGCGGCTGGGCGACGCGCCCACTATCGTTGGAGGCCTGGCGTGTGCATGGGCGCGGTCCGCGGCAACTATTGGATTGCCGTGCCGGGCAGTGTGCTGAAGGCCTCGCCAGAGCAGCTGCGCCCGGCCAACTCGGAGGAGAGGGCAGCGCGGCGCCTAGTGGAGTCGTCGCTACGGACTCACACCGTCGACCTGGATGGCACGAAGGCGAAGTTCTACTCGGGCATCACCGCGGACGCGCGGCCGCCGGAGGCCGCCGATGCGGAGGAGTCCGCCCCAGAGACAGCAGGAGGCGACGCGCGGCCGGCACCGCCAGAGGCCCCTTCCACAACCCGAGGCTTCACCACCTGCCGAAGCAGAGCCGCCTGCTGCCGACTCAGCGGAGATCCCGGTCCCAGGGGATGCGCCGGGGGACTGGCCTAACGAGGAGACGGAGGGCGATCAAGGCTGCGCTGGGTCTGCTGGAGCTCCTGTCGACTCAGAGCCGGCGGAGGTCCGGGAGCGGCTGCGATGCAAGACGTATGTGGAGGAGGCGACGCGCCCCCGCTTCGGGGGCGAAGTGCCGATGCCTCCTGGGGGCGGGGACCTGGACCCTCAGGCTGTGAGTGCGGATTCAGCCCTCAAGCGAAGCCTGTCAGCTCGCCGGCCTGGGCGCCCCAAGCAGCAGCGTGTGCAGTCAGTTATGGCAGTTGCGGCCTCGCCCGACAGCGATGACGACGACGAGATCTTCGCGGTGGACATAGAGGAGGTCCTGCTGGCCAGAGGCAGGCGAGAGCTTGACAGGCGGGAACCGCGCTGGTGCTCAAAAGACGGGCTGGCCAAGATCGCACAGGGCTACGCCAAGGAGTACAGCAAGCTGATCGAGAATACCCAGGCATGGCGCCCTCTTCCGCTTGAGGAGTCGAGGAGAGTGCGGTCTACCCAGCCTGATCGCATCATGAAGCCCCGACCGGTCCTGACGGAGAAGGAGGACGAGGAGGGCAACGTTGCAGTGAAGTGTAGGATGACTATCCGAGGGTTCAAGGGCCCAGACCTCCTGGAGTTGGTGATGGCGGGCCGCACTCAGGCCCCGACGCTGTCCTCAAACGGGAGGGCGTTCGTCCTCCAGACCATCGCTTCCGCCAAGTTTCCCGTGGCCATCGGGGACGTGGAGGGGGCCTTCCTCGAGACGGACGCGTCGCTGGCCCCGGCAGAGCACGGCGCGATCTACGTTTCGCTACCGTCGGAGTTCTTGCCCGACGGGATGCACGGGGATCAGCTCTGCGAGGTCATCAACGGTTACGGCCGGAGCGATCAGCCTCAGCTGTGGTGGCTGACCTTCAGCAAGTTCCTGGTCGAGGAGCTGGGTTTTGTGAAGCATCCCACGGACCCGTGCGTGCTGTTGCTGTTTGAGGATGTCGGCGACTCCGTGGAGTTCGACCTCGATGACTACCGGATCATCGACGGCCAGGGGGCAGGGCCCCTTCGAGCGGCCCGGCCTGGCGACCTGTGCGGTGTCATCGGCCAGCGCGTGGACGACGGCGTGTTCGGCGGCTGGGGGCCCAAGTGGGCCGAGGCTTTGTCGCAGCTGAGGGGCCGTTTTCCCTACCGCAAGTGGCGCGAGAAGGAGGCCGAATTCGTCGGGTCCTGGCTGCGGCAGCTTTCCGACTACACCATCGTGCAGACGCAGCATCAGCGCGCGTCTGAGGCGACGAAGCGGGTGTCGACCCGCCGACATGCGAGCGCTGACGCTCTGGCGGTCCCGTCAGAAATAAAAGATTTCCTCTCCCTCAACCAGCGGGGAAACTGGCTGGCGACCCAGACCCGGCCAGACCTCAGCATCCTCGTGAGCTCGAACCAACAGAGGACGCCCCACCCCACAGTCGGTGATACCAGGAAAGGAAATATGTTGGCTCGTCGTGCTCAGCAGCTTGCAGACCTCGAGATCCGATACCCCTCGATCCCAATCGCCGAGCTCACTCTCATCCTCCGCTCAGACTACTCGTCGAAAGAAATGTCCAACATGGGCCACACGCAGGGGGGCTACATCATCGGGGTGACTAACAGGGACATGGAGCTAGGCAGGGTTTCCCGGTGGGGCCCCTTGATCTGGAGGAGTTATCGGGTGAAGCGGGTGGTCAAGTCTACGTTGGCGGGGGAGTCGTCTGTGATGGCCGACGGTCTCGGACATTTGGAGTGGGTCATGTGCTTCTTCGCCATGGGGTTCTTCCGAGGCTTCACTCTTGGAGATAGGGCCAGGTATCTGAGTAAGTGCAAGAGTCTGGCGGTCATCGACTGCAAGAGTATCTATGACAACGCGTGCAAGATGGGGCCCGTCTGGGATCGACGATAAGAGATGCGCAGTAGATGTTGCCATAAGTAAGGAGAGTCTGGCACGTCTCGGGACCGTGCTGCGCTGGGGCCCCACGTCTCTGACGCTGGCGGATTGCCTCGCGAAGGATAAGGCGGAGCCCGCCGATCTCCTCCGAAGCTGCGTCCGCCACGGGACCTACCAGCTCGCCGATGAGAGCAGTGTCTTGGCTCAAGCATCGGCGGAGCGTGCCTTGCGGAAGCAGTTCGCGGCCCCATCCGCCCGCGAAGAACTTGCGAGCAGATGGTGATGACCGAGGCGAAGAACTTGGCGAGTGGCGCGAGGAGTTTCTTGGAGGGTCTGGCGGAGGCTGGCGAGGGCAACATCGAGGGCTCCAGCAACGAGGTCAAGGTGCAGATTCGCGCGGGAGCCCTGGACGACCGCCTGTCGGGCAAGCAGAGCGTCTCGCAGATCACGCTGGTGTACCACGCCAGCACGGGGTACATCGCGTTGCACTCGCCGGCGGCGCTCGAGGACGGCATGCGCGACCGCCTGAAGGTGCTCGAGGGCCTCTACCACATGGCGCTGAAGAACGGCCAGGTGCCACCGGCCCCGCCTGGAGGATCGATCGCGGTGAACTCCTTCCGCCTCCCGGCCTGGGACGAGTTCTCGGCGGGCTACTCGGAGAGCCAGGGCGGCCCTCCCGGCGCGGGAGCTGGCGGGGCGCAACGCAGCTGCCGGCCATCTCGGACACTGCCCAGGGAGTCGGAGTTCCACAGCGGGATCGGGGACGTCGGAGTGTCAGTGTGCGAGCACATGGCGGACTTTCCCCTCTGGCGCGATAAGATCCTCAGATTCTTAGTTGGGGAGTGCGGTCTGCAGCCAGAGATGTTGAACGAAGAGGATCCGGAGTCATGGAAGCAGACAGGTGTGTTTGACCAGGCTCCGATCGTGGCGGTGGAGGAGGGCTCTATTTCCGAGGGTGCTATGTCCCTGGGGAGCTGGATGCCCGCTTCGTCGAGAGCGGCGGGGTCGAGCCGAGCGGGGGCGCCTACGTCGAAGGCGTCAGGCTCAGAGGACAGGCTCCCCTAGGATACCGACATCTGAGTGGCTTTCGCCTCCCGCGCGCCGTGCTCTGGACAATGGTCTGTTTGATGTGAGGAGGGTTTCAGCCGACGCTGAGCCCAAAGTCGGAGTTGAGGCAATTTTTAAGTTGTGGGAGTGTTGATCCAGTGCGTATTGCCTCACTCCGCTGCCGTTTGGGCGCAAGCTAGCTTGGTGACTCGCGGTGGGGCACCCGCGAGAGGAGAACAAGCTAGCCCTCACTCTTTCCAGAGGGTCCGGAGGACCCTTACTACCGCTCGGGCATTGACAAGGCCCCAGAAGACCCCAGGAGGTTCCAGGAGGCCCCAAGGCCCCAGGAGGCCGCAGGAGGCCCCAGGATGTTCCAGGAGACCCCCAGGAGGCTCCGAGGCGGGGTTTGGGGTACCAGAAGGTACAGAAAACCCCGGGAGGCCCCAGGAGGTCCAGGAGGCTCCCAAGAGGCTCCGAGGCGGGGTCTGGGGTAATTGCCAGAAGGTACGTCGGGGCTCGATTTTGGGAGGATGTTTCAGGCGAAATCGCCATTCTCTGAGAATCGGGGTCAAAATCATTGAAGTTACAACGTGTTTTTGAAGGTTGTATGTTAGAATGTTGAAATTCCCATGTGTTTTTGGACCCTGACGTCACGATCTGCGTGAGGGGTGCCACCGGTTTTCAGAATTTCGAGGATGTCCCTAGCGAAACAGCCAGAACGATCCTGGACGCAGCGCCCCGCGTACGCACTAATCGCCTCTGAGCTCTACTCCCTCGGAGAGGCGCGTATGAGAATATGTGTGTATGTATGTTATATATATATATATATATATATATATATATATATATATATATAATATATATATATATGTATATAATACATATGTGTGTATGTACGGATTTATGTTGGAGGCTTGGGTTCGGCAGTGTCCTTTTCTACTTCCCATTCAACAGCACATAATTTGTGTTACGGAATTCTGTCGGAGGCTGGCACTCGAGCAATTCGTATTGGATATTCAAAGGCAAAGAAAGTATTAAAGGATTCGGTTGGAGGCTCGAACTTAAGCATTACTATTGAATTCGTTATATATATATATATATATGTATATATATGTGTGTATGCATATATATACATATATATATATATATATATATATATATATAGATATATATGTATGTATAGTTTGGACATCTGCTAGCGACGCTGGGACTCGGCCATTTGCCATTGAATTCCAATTTGAATGCCAATGAATAATCAAAAGAGTTTGGCTCGAAGCTGTGACTCGCCCATGTCCGATTGATTTCTCATTTTTAGAACAATGAGTTATTCAGGATTTGTGCTGGAGGCTGGGACTCGGCAGTGTCCCAGTGAATTCCGATCCAACATCCAATGCGTTATCAAGGAATTATGCTGGAGGCTTGGGCTCGGCAATTTCTTATCGAATTCTTGTTCAAACACATGTTTAAATGGAATTCTGTTGGAGGCCTGGGTTTCGGCAGTTTCCCTATCGAATTCCCATTCTTATCGCAGTTTTGTTGCGACATTCTGCTGGGGGTTGGGACCCGACCAATCCGATTGGCATAAATATACGAAAAGCAAATGCATATGAAGGAATTCCGCAGGAGGCTCGAACTTCAGCGTTTACTATCGAATTCGTCGATATGTACATATACACACACACATATATATAATATATATATATATATATATATATATATATATATATATATATATATACATATATATACACATAAAGAACTCAGCTGGAAGCTGGGATTCGCCCATTTCGACATGAATTCTCATTTTTAAAGCCATGCATTATTGAGGTTTATGCTAGAGGCTGGGACCCGGCCGCTTGAAATTGAATTCGTTTGTGAAAATGATACGTTCGTCCAGGATTGTGCTGCAGGGTGGGACTCGGCGACTTCCGAATGAATCCCCATTCGAATATAATAGGTCTTGTAATGAATTATGATGAAGGCTGGGAGTCGACAGTTTTCGATTGAGGTCCCATCCGGAAACACATAAGTTACTCGTAAATTCTGCTGGAGGCTGGGGCTCGACCGTTGCCTGGTGACATCCTATCCAAAAGCCAACAACTGATCCATTAATTCTGCTGGAGGCTGGGACTCGGCCATTTCCGGTTGAATTCTGATGCAAAAACCAATTTATTATTATGGCATTATGCTGGGGGCTGGGGCTCGACCAGTGCATATTGAATTCTTGTGCGAAAGCAGCAAGCTTGAAAGACAATCAGCAAGGAATGCTGTTGGTGTCTGGACTTCGACCATGTCTCATTGAGTTCCCATTAGAAAGCCAACGCATGATTAAGGAATTCTGCCGGAGGCCTCTGCAGTTTCCTGTTGAATTCGTATTCAAAAAAAGCAAATAAAGCAAGGAATTATGCTGGAGGCTGGAGCTTTATTATTTTGATGTGAATTCCCAGCAAGAAAACCAAGATTATTATGGCATTCTGCTGAGGGCTGGGGCTCGACCATTGCATGTTGAATTCCTGTGCGAAAGCAGGAAGCGTGAAAGAAAATCAGCAAGGAATGTTGTTGGTGGCTGGGCTTCGACCGTGTCCTATTGAGCTCCCATTAGAAAACCAACACATGATTAAGGAATTCTGCTGGAGGTCTCTGGAGTTTCCTGTTGAATTCGTGTTCAAAAAAAGCAAATAATGCATCAAGGAAGTATGCTGGATGCTGGAGTTTTATAATTTCCATGTTAATTCCCAACATGCGAACCAATACGTTATCAACGGATTCTGCTGGAGGTTGGGGTTCAGCAGTTTCCTATTGACTTCCAAGTTAAAAGTTACAGCATGATTACATCAGTCTGCTGGAGGCTGGGACTCGGCCAGTTCTTATTACCTAACAGCGAAGACTGATAGGTTTCTAGTGGTGTCAAAAGAGAGCAGCAGATGACTCCTCAGGGGGGTCGGGGCGGGACCCGGGGCGGCTGCCGTCGAAGCCCAAATCGCCTGGGACATCCTCGCAAAATCGCTCTTGGCGCTGCTAGAACTCCATTCCCGGCGTACATTTTGGATGCCCGGAGCCAACTGTAGGCCACTTCGTGGTCTTCGAGTTCCCAGAACTCCATTCCCGGGCCACATTTTGGATGCCCGGAGCCAACTGTAGGCCACTTCGTGCTCTTCGACTTCCCAGAACTCCATTCCCGGGCCACATTTTGAATGCCCGGAGCCAACTGTAGGCCACTTCGTACTCTTCGAGTTCCCAGAACACCATCCCGGGCCACATTTTGAATGCCCGGAGCCAACTGTAGGCCACTTCGTGCTCTTCGAGTTCCCAGAACTCCATTCCCGGGCCACATTTTGAATGCTGAGGCAGGCTGGCTGAGGCTGAGGCAGGCTGAGGCTGAGGCTGAGGCTGAGGCGAGGCTGACTGAGGCTGAGGCTGAAGCAGGCTGAGGCTGAGGCTGAGGCAGGCTGAGGCTGAGGCTGAGGCAGGCTGAGGCTGAGGCAGGCTGAGGCTGAGGCAGGCTGAGGCTGAGGCTGAGGCTGATGCAGGCTGAGGCTGAGGCAGGCTGAGGCTGAGGCCGAGGCTGAAGGCAGACTGAGGCTGAGGCTGAAGCAGGCTGAGGCTGAGGCTGAGGCAGGCTGAGGCTGAGGCTTAGGCAAGCTGATACTGAGGCAGACTGAGGCTGAGGCTGAGGCAGGCTGAGGCTGAGGCAGGCTGAGGCTGAGGAGGCTGAGGCTGAGGCTGAGGCTGAGGCTGAGGCTGAGGCTGAGGCTGAGGCTGAGGCCGAGGCTGAGGCTGAGGCTGAGGCTGCAGGCTGAGGCTGCAGGCTGAGGCTGAGGCAGGCTGAGGCTGAGGCTGAGGCTGGCTGATGCAGGCTGAGGCTGAGGCAGGCTGAGGCTGAGGCTGAGGCTGAGGCTGAGGCTGAGGCTGAGGCTGAGGCTGAGGCTGAGGCTGAGGCTGAGGCTGAGGCTGAGGCTGAGGCAGGC